GAGCTCTCCTGAGCGGTGGGAGATGAAGGTTTAAGTCAGGCTGACATCTGAGACAGGTGCTCTAATGACTGTAATGGGGACAGGGAAGGTGGCAGCGTGTGTTCAAAGACAGGGATCCCAGCTTGAGATAAGAAAGGAGAGAGCTAGGGACTGAGGACAGCTGAGGTCTTGAGCAGCAGCAGCCTGGTGTGAAGGGCCCTATTGGAGCCACCCTTCACCCCAACATTTCCCACTGGGCAGCTCAGCTGCCCACTCAGCCTGCCACCTCCTGCTCCCCGCTGGCTGCTCTGGATCCCATGCTTTAGCACTGGGCTCCCCCTACGAGCCTCAGCATCTGCTCCTGCCACCTTGCAGCCCCCCACCCCTAAGGCACCTACATGGCATTTAAATGTAGCTCTTAATCAGTTCCCAAGCAGCAGACAGCTGGGGGAGGGGGAAATGCGCCAACGAACACATCCATCAGGAGAGGCTGAGATCTCAGCAGTCCAGCACGGGTGACAGCACCAATACAAAACTGAAGGCGAGCCTCTTGCAGCTCCAGGTGGCCAAAAATGACCTAACTTGGCAGATGTGACAGGACTCTTACGCATGCACTGGCACTCAGTGAGGGCTGATAGTTGCCAAAGCAACTGTCACGCCGTGTCCCAGCATTTACAGCTCATGTACGCTACCCTGGCTCTGCTGCAGATCAGGAAAGCACCAGACCCCAAGGCTGCTCTAGATCTGAGCACCCCGGGGTTGGGGACGAGGTGTCCCAACATCATCACTGGGCTGAGGCTCTTTACAAAACCTGCAGAGGTTTGGGGAGTGGCAGAATGGGAGCTGTAAGTAATGGGCGATGGCCGTGAGGCTGTTTGCCTGGGCTGCTGCAGGAGGGCTCTCAGAAGAGCCCAGCACGATGTCTGAGGGGGGATAAAAATTAGTAATACCTTAAGCTGCTACACTGAAGCTCCCTAGTGCGAGGGTCGGCAACATACAGCCCATGGGCCAGATCCAGCCCACAGCGCTGCGGGGCTTTGCCTGCGCCCGTGCCAAGCTGAGCAGCGAGGAGCTGCCCTGCAGCCAAGGAGCTGGAGCTGTGCTGGCCCCCAGCGCCTCCTCCCCAATACAGTGTGGGCATAACTTCCAGCTGAAGGGAAGTGGTGGTAGCTGGCAAGGAGTAGGGCAAAGTGGCAGCTTTGGGGAGGGTCAGTGCAGGTGAAGGCTGTTGGGTGAAAAAGGGCCTTGTTTTGAATGGCTGAGATCTGCTGTGAGGCCAAGCGTTTAGTTCCCACTGCATTAGAGCAGCGGTGAGGCACCTAACTCCCCTAGGCTTCTCTGAACATCCCAGCTTCACTCTTTGAAACCTAATTCCTCCCTTAGGGAGGATGCTCAGTTCTTGTTCGTTACCAGACTCCCTGACGATATCTTCCCTACCAGCAGAATTTCCCCAAATCATAGTGATGCTCCTGGTTCCTAAGGCGCCGAGCAAACATGGAGGGATAAAGGATAGGGGGAAACTTGGTGGCAACCTTTCCTGACAACATGGAGAACGAGGAACATTGCAGTCAAAATGGGATCCAGAATGAAAATGGAGCCCCCCACGTCACCGCCGTGAAAGGAGAGGCAGGCATTAAAAATAGCCGAGCGTACTCCTTTGTGCTACCAGCCCGCGGCTGTTACATAACACAACAGCACCCCCGCCCCAAGACATGTGTTTTGCTGGGATAACACCAAATGCAATTTAGGTTTTTCAATAAAAAGCCACTTCTGTGGTGGCTGACAGCTCTCAGATTTCTGTCATGCATTGCAATGCATCTAAGGCCTGACATTATCCCAGCATGCCATGTCTGATGGCTTAAATTAATCCTCCTTTATAATTAACTTTAATTTCCTGCCGCCTTTCTGGGGCTTTGCTTCTCTCGGCTTTCCCTTCATCAAAGCCCTCACTGGTTTTTTTTTATTATTATTTATTTATTCTTTCCAAAATATCATTTAACTGGAGGGAATATACAAGGGTGTTTCACTCTATCGCATTCATTTGACTTTTCCTGCTGATCTAATTTACCAAACTCTCCCCTGTTTGATTCAGATACAACCGGGAAAATAGCAATGTTTCAGTGGAAGTTTCTGCCCCTGATAGTGAAGGAGACTCTTAAGGGATTTCGCTTGCCTAATTTTAAATGAGCTCTTTTTGCTGCTTATAACAGCTCCTTAGATGCCCCAGGGCAGTGGCTCTCACCCCACGTGCTCCAGCCTATCAGTGATTGATCCAAGGCCTGCCCTGGCCAGGCTGGGCTTCCTCCTAGTCCACCTCATCTAGCCCACTGAAGACAGCCCCTAGATACACCAAGCATCGCTTCAGAGCACTTTTCCACATCAGCAATTGCTACTGGGCTGTCCCATGGCTGGGACCAGAGCCGTTTCCTGCACAGCTCCTCCCATCTATACTGGAACAGCTTACTTTCAAATCTCATCTGAAAATTCAGCTGACACATACCCACACCTGTGGCTGTCCCGCTGGTATAACCCAGTGCTGAGTGGTGTATCTGCGTGGCAAAACTCTTAGGATAGGGGCCTACTGCTGCAGGGACTTTACTTAGGAGAAGCACTCTTGCATTCCTGATTTCTCTTGTGAAATCCTCTCCTCCCCCTGGGCGCACAGGCTTCCTGCTTTGCCCGTGTAGGGTTGCTCAGGAATACTGGGCATCTTTACAAATGAAATGAGGTGGACTTTCTAAGCAGATAATAAGGGAGAGCACACGGGGCTACCAAATGTGATGATGGGCTCACAAGACATATTGCAGTCACTTCCGCTGGCACTAGCTAGTGTTGCCAACTCCCAAGCCATGGCTGCTCTGATTTTGCTTTTTTTTTCTTTCTGAGCCTGGTCCTTTAAATCTCACACTTACAGCTGTGGCTCTAGAGAGGCCATTTTGGAGCATACAGCAGTTGCTTGCTTCCTGTATCTCCCTCTCTCCCAGCTGGTAAGTGCTCAACTACTGTTGTTTCCTTTTTCTTATTCCTTGTGAGATGGCTTGTTGCCACAGCGTGTTGGATGCTGTGGTTTGGAAGGACTGACTGAAATGCGGTGTTTGAGCTTCTGCGTGTCCTGTGAAAGCCAACATCCACCCCTGAGTAAGGACTGGTGTTGCAGGGGATGAGTGGAGGGTGTTCAGGCAAGGCAGGGGGTAGCTGTGCGAGCACCTCTGCTATGCACAAGGTAGGAGGGGCTGCTCAGGTGGGCTGATTCACTTACAAAGTGGTGAGTTTGAATTTTCTGGTGAAGGTAATAGTAAGTGCTAGAGAAAAATCCTTCAAGTCCTTCCTTAGTTACAGTGTGGGCCTAGGAAAACTGCCCTCCTGTAACTTCAAGTCTAGCACCTCTGCATGCCTATGCCTATATAAAACTGAATGCTTTCTCCACACGTCTTCAGATAGAAAAACAAGGGGGTGTTCAGGAGGGAGGGTGCTGGGTGTCTGCAAAGGGCTGAGTTCAAGACACCAGTACAGCCTCTGCTGTCATGCTTTCACCCTGCCCTTGCTGAGCTACAGCTCTGCCTCAGCGGGCCGACCCCTCGAGCTTCCACACAGTGGCTCTGCGAGAACATTAGCGCAGGCTTCGGCTCCGTTAACTGAGCTGAAGAACCCTGGTGGGGTTGGCCACCAGCACGTGTCTGAATGGGTGTCCCCAAAATGAGAAGAAACATGAGAAGCAACAGGGAGCAGGTCATTGTCTCCTGTGTGAACCTAGAGGTGGCTGAGAGAAGCACCTCACAGGTTTCTGCCGCTCCTCCCTCTCCCTGGAAGCCCCTGATAAAGCCAAGTCTTTGATCCACTTACGTTGTATGCTGAAGCAAAACTTCTTCTGCTGGTATGAAATGTAACTGGACACGGCGCCAATAAGGGCCATGGCGAGAGCACTGGCTATGCCCGCAATGGTCCCAGTCTCCGCGACAGTTCCTGTGAAAGCAGAGAGCACAAGAGCTGTGCTGCTTTGAGTACATATTAGGATCTGGTCTCTGCCCTCCCCCATGCCACCACAAAACCAGTGCCTGGTTCGTCCAGGACTGGCTGGGGCGGTGTATGGGGGCTTGAGGGCACCTGGGCTCTCCTGTGTCTGACTCAGAGGGGAACTGCTGATGGAGGCAGTCGGTATGAACAGAGCCAGGTTTGCACGAAGCCACTTACCTGTGTCATAGTCATTGCTGCCGCCGCCACCATCTGAAAGAACAACAAGCATGTTAGAGCAACTCTGACATCCCAGGAAATGTGGTCAGGCCATCAGAGCCAGTGGCTGTGCTGGCCACCAGGCCAGGGCCCCAGTTGTGCCCTTCAGTACCTGACACCGTTCCTGTTCACACCCAGTGCCCCAGTCCGCAGGCCATATACTGCTGTATTCCTCTACTAAGGTGGGAGGTAGCTGCCCAGGATGGGTGATGCCCCAAGCACCTGTCCATGGCAGTTGTCCCCAGAGTAGCAAGGGGGGCTGTGACCAGGCTCTCCTTCCCCGTGACACAGCTGTCACCTGCACCAGCCCAGGGTTGCTTCCCTGCTGCTCCACCCAAGGGAGCCCACAGAAGGCACATGTCTCACTCTGTGTCCAGGCAATGAAACAACAGGAAGGAAAGACAAAATGGGTCCAGGAAAAAACAGAGGAGGAGTTGGGGTGGGAGGTAGGAATTCAGCTGTAAAAAGAATAGCTGGAAGCAGCTGAGCTGAGCTGAGCTGAGGGGGGCCCAGATTGCAGCCCAATGCTTGCTTTGGCTTTATAGGGCAGCCCCAGGCCCGTGCTTCCCAGGGCAACGGGGGCAGCAGGAAAGCCAGAAGTGCTTGCTGGAAGGGGAGTCCCCAGGACCCTGTAAGCTCTACAGTCTGCTCCAGGCCTGCTCCTCAGCATGAGTTGGCTCCTTGCAGGCCTGCGATGGCAAAAGCTTCTCCTCCTGTTGCCCCCATGACCCTGCATGGAAGGCACAAAGGGTCTGTCTCTTGCTCTTCCACACCAGAGGTGTGAACCTCAAGGCATGCCTGCCTGCACATGCATCTGTGGCCAGCAGAGCAAGGGGCTGGCATGGCTGGCCCCACATCCAGCACAGAACGACTGGTGGGTTTCTGTCATGCGATTCATTCTTTCCTCTGCATCTGGGTGGGGGGCTCGTTTGCAGGGGAGCTGCTCTACAGCATGTGCTGTTGTGTGATGGCAGCCTTGCACACTGAGGTAACCCTGGTATTAATTAAACAGCTGCTGCCTCAGTAACAGTGTCAAGCTATAAATGGAATTGATTATAAATTTAGCACCATGCCATAAAAGGCTGGTTTTACGGTTGCTTGTGGTTTCATTTACACACTCCTGCACTCGACTTCATCTGCGCCACTCTTCTCCAAGAGGGAGCTGAGGGATTCTGCTAAAGGCTGCCTGGTGCCAAGCTCTGGGTCACTGATTAGTGAGCAACACAGCACAAGGTGTACCTGTAACTTGCCCGCTGCTTTGCAATGCAGGCAGGGCAAGGGGCATGCAGGAACTGGCTGCCCTCTACTCCACCCCCTACCAACTTACATCAGCACCCTGATCAGCCTGCAGTTCCCCCACTTCCGGTGCCTCCATTATCTGATGTTACAAGAACAAAGGTACTGTGCAAAGTGGCTTGTGTGTGTGTGACCGAGAGAAGAGGCACCCAAATATAAACCCACCTCACTCACTGGAGCAAGGCCTGACCTTACCCTGGGGCCATAAGTTACAGCCCAACAAAAATATCTGGCAGGAGTCTTGAAGGGCTAAGTAGCTTTCCCTGTACGTACTGTCATGTATTTCTATTGTACACCTCATCAGGCTTCAGGCTGGAATACCCCAGCTCAGGACAGAGGTGAGCAGGAGGATGCATGGTGCTTCCCCACCATGGCACAGGGGAAGCACCCACCACTGAAACTTGATCTAAGTGCCCACAGGTTGCCCTGTTCTAAGAGAAAATGAGGACCGTGAAGGACAGAGATGCCTTAACCAGCCCTAACCAAACTCCACCTGGGTTAAGTTGCCCTGTGGTGGGCAGTGCAAGCAGAACGAGCAGACACATGCATTCACTTGTGTCAACTGGCTCCACGAGAGAAGATAGACTGGACATAAGGAAAAGCTTCTTTACAATCTGAGTCTTCAGAGTCTGGAATAGACACCCCCCAGAAGTGGTGCAAGCACCTACTCTGGATACCATTAAGAAAAGCTTGGATGCTTATCTTGCTGGGATGATCTGACCCCAGCTGACCTCCTGCCCCTTGGGCGGGGGGCTGGACCTCGCAAGGTCCCTTCCAGCCCTAATGGCTATGAAATCTATGAAATCCTTTGTCCACAATTGAAGGGAGAATTCCTGTTTGTTTTAATGGAGGATCCTAGCTGCAGCATCCCCCTTTTTCTTTATTGCACTGACCATGAAATGGCTGCCGTTTGCGATGATAGATGTTGCCTGTGGCACTTTGATCTTTAGCTCAGCGCTAGATCTGGCCTGACAAACCTGGCTTGCCATAAGACAGGATCAGCTCCCACAGTCCTAATGTTAAGGGTTTGGTTTTTTTCCCCTTCCTTCCTCTTTCCATCTAGTGTTAAGATGTAAGGTGTGATGGAAGTTTTTCAGGGGAGCCATCTTAAGTGGACCATTCATTGTCTTGCAGAAGAATTCCCTGTACCATATTTCTGTGGGACATATATGTGAAGATAATTGAAATGTTATATATAGTCACACTACATACTTGTGCTTCTGAAAGAAAGTGATGGGCTAAACGCTGTAAAGCCAAGGCATTTTTGCTTAGCATAAAAGTCTATTTTAAAATGAGAGAGAGAGAGAGGGTTGGGAGGGAAAAACAGCTCCTCCTGCAAGCTTCGCTTCTGAAGTCACTTAAATTTTGTATTTATGGCAGCAGGTCAGCATCATGTTAATCTCCAATGTGCTCTGTCTCCTCCACAGTGATTAATTAAATGTTGATTGGGAGAGTGGGGTTCATCTTTTTAATTTGACTCTGTTAATATTTAATGTTGTGGGTCTTCAAGGAGCATACAGTCTTAGTACTGTGGGTTGCAGCTTCTATCTTAATTTCCAGTAGCTGGTGGTCAGTGCTGAAAGGAAGTCTTTGGACCCTCTTATAAGGAGTAAAAGGTGTATTTGTCACTAATCAGAGGAATGAGGCAACTCCCACCGGGTCAGTGGGGCTCCTTGAATTGGTGGTAATGGAAGGCAGTGCTTCACTGCCTGTCGGCGAAGCCAGTAAGAATCCTTCTTCACTAATGACACAAGGCCTTTCAAGAGTTGATACAATTGCTGCTGTCTGAAAAGTGACTCTAAGGCTACAGGCAGTCCTCGACTTACAGTGTTTCAAGTTACATTTTGCGCTTACAATGTCTATAAATTGACACCCCATTTCAACTTTACAGCGCCAGTTTGGATTTACAACACTTGATCCGTTGCAATCCTATGCAGTGAACAAGTTCGCTGCATTGCCCATGTCCCTGGAGAACATTTGTCCAAACTTCCTTGGACACTTTCTTTAAGAAAGCAGACAAGACTCCAGAAAAACCTGCGGCCAAGGCTCCTGAGAAGACTCCAGCCAAGAACCCTTCAGAAAGTCCAACCAAGAGCCTTTCAAAGAAGTTCAGCAAAGTCACCTCAAAGAAGTCCTTCCAAGTCAATATGATTGCTATTTATGATATAAATGCATTAATGTAGCTATATTACTCATCTATAATTGATTGAGTACGAAATTCTGGGATATTTTTAATGAAAATAGTGTTTGGGCCTTGGTTCGGGAACCAATCCCCCATTTATAAAATTTATTTCTTATGGGAAAATTGGTTCTGAGTTGCAATATTTCAACTTAATATGCAGTTTTCAGGAACCAATTGTGTCATAAGTCCAAGGACTGCCTGTCGATAGAATCCATGAAGATTACAGAAACGAATGGGGGGGGAGGTGCACGTGTGTGTGTAATTCTTAGATGATAAACTTTTTCTGGCAAAAAAGAATGAATGAATGACCCTCCTTTCTATCACTAAAGTTTAGGAACCCACCATGACAAAACATACAAGTTTGCTCTTTGCCCTTCTTTTCCATGTTGTGGATGTGGAAGCAGCTACAAGTTCACAGGAAAAGTGTTAATGAGTTTTGGACAAGCTCTGGCTGCCCTTGCATCTGTATGTAACCACTTGCAAAGGTTACTGCTCCTTGCATTGCTGGCCCTGAGAGTGCAGAATGGGTCCAGGAAGGCTGCAGACTAGCTTCTTTTATGGCAGCGCAGGGATGGACTTGATGTGCATCCTTGCTGGAGCTAGGGCAGGTGGTCATGGTGCTTCTTCCCCTTACCACATTTCTTGTCATCACAGTTTGCTCCATCTGGAGGAAGAGACTCATCCTGGGAAGTCTCACTACGCTGGCCAGGCTTCCAGCTTCAGAGGCATCCCATCTCCCCTTTCTCAACTCTTCCATTAACCTTGCAGGCAACTCTGCTTTACCAGCCCTATTTCCAGATGGACCTTAGGGTGGTGCTGGTGCAATCCCAATTTCTGCTTCAACAATCTCCTAGCTCAAGTTCCAGGGCTCAGTCACTTTTGCCCTTCCCTGTGATGAGAGGGTGTGTGTTCCCCGTTTGGAGGGGATTCTTCTCAACCCTGGTTTTCCTTGCCGTTCGCTTTTCTACATTTCCAAGGGGAATACAGAGCTAGTGAGAAGGTGGAGGGAAAGGCAGTCAGACACCTTTGCCCACATGTCCCAGAGGTGTTGGCTGTGCTCAGAGGTTGTCCAAAATAGACCCACTGTTGAAGGCAGACACAACTCTAGCCCTTCTCCTCCAGGCAACATGGTGCCTATAGCCTGGTGATTATGATGGACTACAGTGGCAGATCCTTATTAATGTCTGATGTACTGGGCCCCTAAGCACAATGGTAATATACAGGCCACTCTTTCCTTTTAAATATTGAACATGATGTTAATGAAATAACAAAAATAAAATCAATCCTCTCAGTGGTCTGCATCCTGCTTTCCCAGATTTAGGACTGGCTTCAGCTTTTGTTCCCGTCCCAAACAGAAGGTGACAGTGCTCTTCTACAGAGTGGGGACCCTTATCTACAATTAATAATGGAGATGGCAGGAATCTGCCCCCCACCCCCATTCCTTCCCCTCTCGCAGTTCCATCAGCATCTCGCGCACCACAGAGAATGAGGTGGCTCGTGGAATAAACCTGCACTGCTGCCACATTTGGAGAGTGGTATGTAAGGACCTACCTTTCTTCTTGTCAGGGTGGTAGCCGTCGTCCAAAATACCACTCAGGTCAGCATCTGAAATGGCTGGAAACACATGACACATACAAAATTCCTGAAACTTAGGCACCAAATGCTTTGCACTTAGAATCATAGAAAAGTAGCGATGGAAGAGACCTCGGATCAATGCAGGATCATCCCCCTCTAAACCACCCGTCAATTGTTTGTCTTTTTATTGGATCATTCAGCACACATCATACCAACCCTGGGCAACGGGAAGCTTTCTGTTGTCCTACCTGAGAGGACTGCAGGTGACAGTGGGGTTCAGAGCAGGGGCTGCTTAGACGCTGAGCTTTATCAAGGTGTCTGTGTCTTGCTGGAATGTCACCCTTTGTCAGACCCTTAGTGGTGCCATGAGAATAAACATATCCTGCTTAGGGCAATGCTAGATTAAGAAGAGACCAGTTGAGGTGTGCAGGGAAGTACCAGCCCACACACATTCACTACCTGCCACATGAGCTGCAAATCTAGACATGGCAGTCTTAAATGCAGTCTATCTTCTGAATTAACTGCAGTTCAGAAGTTCACAGTTCAAGGGGAGCCCCCCTCTGCATGGGGCTCTTGTTGCGTCTAAGTGCTCCAACGTACTGCTCAGTGTCACAGGTGCGTTTTGGTCTCTGCTACTTCCTGGCAGTACTGAATCACTTGTTTGAATCTGGGAGTTCCTCACGCTCCTACAGGCTGACTTTCTTATTGAAATGGCAGCTGTGACAGTGTTTGTGCTGCTGAGCCTGCACCCTGGGATGCTGGCAAGGCATGCAAGAGCTGGCCAATCATCAGAACAGAGCACTTGGTCATTTTGCTTTCAGCTGCCCTTTGCCTTCTCTTGGTTTTACCCAGCTCATGGGCTCAGCATCTCATTTAAGCTTGCCCACTGATCTCAGTGGGCTCTGAAGCTTTGGGCTCCAGCAGTCTGTGAGTGCTGCAAGTGCCCAGCTCCTATGACAAGTCAAGCCCAGGGCTCCTGAGGTCTGTTATGGGTCAGTTCTTCACTGCACTCAAGTCAGCTGGTGTCAAATGGGCTCTAGATACACTTCTGATGACAGAAGCTCTCAGCTGCAGAATGGAAAAGCCTCTTGCTGTGCAACTTGCTTTGAGGCATCCAGGAACAGGATAACTGCTGCAGAAGGGCTGAAAGACTTGGGTGTGGGCACACAAACAAGTTACCATGAGGTAAGGTAGGGTGTGATGTATGAATTGTCATGTCTTGCACAGTAACTGCCAATGTGCATGCTCCCACCCCGCAGAAACTGCAAGGTAGCTTACTGCTTAGTAGACGCAGGGTTAGCTGCCCTGCATTTACCTCGGTGCAGAAGCGTGCACAAGAAAAAGCTGACATGCTGTAAGTTCACACCCTTGTTGCATGTTGTTCTGCACCCACACTGTGAAGCTTGTATCCACTGAAAAGGCCTCCTCATCCAAATGTGATGTTGCCATGCTAACAACCAGTGTGGCTTCTGTCCTTTTGGTAACTGGTCTGGGACCATTCAAAGCCAAAAGCAGTAGTCTGAACTGAAGGGCCAGGTGTTCTAGCTGGAGCTGTGAAAGACTCTCTGTGGATGAAGCAGAGGGAGCTGTAGTAACATAACATATGCTAATTAATGGGTTAAAAATGCACCCAGGGCCTATAAAAGCACAAGCTAGTTATCATGTGTGTCTTTTTATTTATTAAGCAGGAGCCATTTTGGCTCTGAACAGAAGTTGACGCAGCCTGTTGAGGAAGTGCTCTAACTGCGCCATGAGTTAGGGCGCCATTGATCCCCAACAGGCCTTTGCCTCTTGGGTGGTGGGCTTGGAGCTTGCCTGCACTGGCCCAGGCCAGCAGGTGCGGGTGCTCAAGCAGCCTCCCAGGAAGCTGTCAAACCACCCCTTTCCCTAACCCTGCCAGCTAGCAACTGTCAGCAGCAGCTGGAGAGCAAGAGTGGGGATGGAGCATGCCCTGCTGTGTGACTCCCCCAGCCAACTAAGGATCTTGGGGGTGGCGGGGGGTCTGCTGGGATCTTAGGGAGAGCCTGCTGAGGTCTTGGGGAAATCTGGGCCAGGCTGATGAGGAGGGGGTGGCGCTCCCTTCCTCCTGCCCCAGTGCAACAGAGCCCCCCACACCTTACAGGTCCAGTCCAGCTCTCCCCAAGACCCCAGCAGGGGCAGCTGGGGGGCAGCACATGGCAGGAGGGTGAAGGAGGCTACCTGCCCTGCCCACAGAGGCAGGAGACAGAAGTTTTCTGTCTCCTCTCTGTGACAGCCCCACAAAGCTGCATGGGATACAGTGGAGTCACCTTAAATTAACCCTTGCAGGTAACCTGTACACAGGTTCCCTAAGGCGCTTTGCCTGAGAGTGCCCCTGTCTGATACTACATCAGACAAGGGTTAAATTTTTGCACAATTGGCCATTTTAAAAGCACTCTGCAGCTGTGAACGTCTGTTGTGTTCTGGCTACAGAGCGCTTTTGGGGGGCCTCATCACATGAAAAATTTAATTTCTGTCTACACCCTTTGCCCACTGCTCTTACCAAGCAGCTGGTGACATAATAGTACAAATTTATGTGAAACTGGATGGTCTGGATTACAACTAAAAAGGCTTCCATTTACAAGGGGCAAACAGCCAGAGGAACCTGGAAGACAACCAGCCCACTAGAGGGGGAATAATATATGTAACTTGTTTGGCTATTGTGCTCTTCATGATGTTGGCTGCTGCGGGTTAGAGCAACCCCCAGGCTCTCCTAACCAGCGTGATCCTACCGCTATCCAGGGCTCTCTATCAATCTCACACCTTTTCACTGCACAGAGCACACACTGACACAAGCAAGATCTGCCCGCAAAGTCTGCATTTTTTTCTCTTATTGTAAGCTTGTGTGCTGAAGCTACTCCAAGAAGGAACTGAGTATTAATGATTTTCAGGAAATTTTCACAACTAGCACAAACAATGGAGACCGAAGATACTGAGAAAACATTAAATCCATGCAGAATTGAAATGGAGAGCTAAGAGTCCTGAATTAATAGCAGAATTAGTGGAGAAGTCCAACACCTTGGAATCCCAAGGTGGCATGCAGGCAGACAACAGGAGTATTTGACGCTTAGTAAAGTGGGTGGCAGAAAGCTGAGATTTGTAAAAGGAAAGAGCAGCAGCTGGGAGCCAGTAAGAGACTCCTTACCCGATTTTCCACCTCGTGAAGGGCTACCTTTACCTTTCGAGCCTGGAATAGGATTCTTTATTCATTAATTCATCATAGAAAACAGCATTTTACTGATTTTTAGATTTTGCAACTGGATTAAAAAAACAAGCAACATAAACTGAATGGAGGTCATAATGGGAGGCCGAGCAACGCTGACTAAGCTTGCGCAGGGATTGCCTGGTGATTATTAAGAGACATTAATGCCTTCACTCTTAGGACTAAGTCCAACTTTTACCTTTTAGCCAGCTAACGCCACCCTGCTTGAATCCCTAGAACACTGTTAATACAAAGGACACATCCTCCTCCTCGCTGCTTTTTGTGACTTCATTTTAAGGCTAAGATGACAGCCTGTTACAAAATGATTGGATTTTCCAGCACTTGAGCAGGGTGCCTATATGTTGTCTGGCACCTAAAGGGTGGGATAAGATCTGGCGATTGGTGTCCTACAGGACTCTGATGTTTTAAACCAGCCTTGAAAGCAAAGTCCCTACAAGTCACCTAGCTAGTAACATCCAATATAATACCTGACTATTAATTACATATGTTGTCAAGTAGCATATACTGCAGTCTTGGCAGCAATAAAAAAGCTGTGCTCAGTCTGTTTTCTAGCTCGGTGCTCCAGGGAACAATAACTATAGATAAATAGCCTGTTTACTGGAATATTTTTGGGGAGTGGAAAAATGCCTCAGCTCAGTTAGATTCAGCTCTTGTACTGGGAATTAGGATCATCCTGTGTCTTTGCAATGACCAAAAATGCCAATAGCAAGTGCTGGTTTCTGAGTGTAAGGTGTACCAATACAGGGGGAACTGATCAAAGCCACCACCACTCAGTGGGTCAAAATGACAAGAATACATGACCCTAAGGGTCAAATAACTAAGTGTATAAAGCAGCTGGCAAGGACCTGGACACAGGTCCTTTAATACAACCATATTTCTCTCAAATCAGTCTCGTGCTAACAGGTTTTACCCCTCCCTCATTCCTTTTATATTGGCCTGATCCTCCCACCAGTATCAATGAAGTGATCTTATTCCACCCTCAGGTGCATGTGCAGTTCCAAAGGGAGTTGGGGTAGGTGGTTTGTATGCTGTACTCGATGGCAACATTTGGCCAGTGGGGCTTCAGGGAAATGGAAACAATCTCCAGGAGAGATCTGGGAAGGAGCCTTAAAATAGTCAGTCATTCTCCAGCTTTTGCACAGGTCTCTCTGGTTCCTTCTGTCCTGGGCATTCTGCAGCATTTCACTGCCGCATGCTGCATTCAGCAATGAGGGCTGACTATCAGGTCTTGGAGGGTTGGGGAGGGGAGGGGGGATCATCAGCTGTTATAAATTTGTGCTGTAATCAGCTGAAATGGAGGCTGTCTCAGGGGGCTACTGCATTCTTCTCATTGCATGTTGCACTCCCTCAAGTCATAGGTAAAAAAGCAGCAGGATTTACACTGGGATCTAGGGCAGAGGAAGAAAGTGAATCAACATACCTTCGCCAGGCTTCCCACTTCCTTTTCCATCTCCTTTTCCATCATTCCCATCATCAAGGGCATCAGACAGGTCGAAATCCATAGGATCCTTTGCTATAAAATAACATGCTCTGGTTAGCATCTTGGACCAGCAGCTCTAGCCTACTTCATTCAACACTTGCCAATCTAATCCTTTAATTCTGGCCAGGTTGTTTAATCAGGAAAAGGCTCAGTCCTGCCAGAGTGGCAGTGCGAGAGATGCAGTAATTGATACATATCGTATGTTTTCCAGTTTATGTACACAGTATCATGGGAGATATTTGCAATTCATTTGGTGTTGTGCTCTCGTGCTGCTGTTATGATAAATGTCATGTACTTCTTGCAGAAATTGTCTTGCATAGTGGATCAAACGCCAAGAAATTATATAAATCAAGTGGCATAGAAAAGGTCAGGGTGAAACAGACAATTCTAAGTGTTCTCTGAGTAGAAATAATAGGAGGGAAAACCTTAAAGGAAAAGGAAGGATTTTTTTTTTTCAGAGATGTTTGGTTTGTGACTGGAATAATTGGTAACAGGGAAAAATGCAAGTTATGACACAGCTCTGCATCCTGAGAAGTTAGTTAATGAGAGAACAGTTCTCTGCCACCTTTGCTGTGTGGTTATTGTAAAAAATGTGGCCAAGCCAGATCCAGGTCAACTGACTCTTTGCTAGTACTCAAACTCCTGTTTCAGAAGCATATCTGGACTTCAGATTGTATTGGAGAGATGCAGAAATACTGAACCAAAACTCACTCCACAATATCTGGCAAAATGCTCAGCTGAGAAATGGTTATAGGTGTCAGCACCAGTTACCAGTGTCAGAAGGGACTGCTATCATTAGGTTTCAGCATCAGTGTCCTTCTTAAATGCCTGGGAGTCACTCACTCAGGGCCAGATTTGCTGCTACAGTAACTAGCTGCAACTCCACTGAAAGCAAAGGAATAGCACCAGTTGGTTCCTCCTACTGGAAGTAGTAGCACTGTTTTGTTTCACATTTGGACTGTTTCTAATTCTCCTAGTTCCAAGAGAAAACCAGTCTCAGTATACTTTTAAGATGTCAAAATTTAAAACTCGTCAAATGCTGGTGGGGAAATAAGGAAAGTACAAGCTTGATGTGCCTGGGGCAAATGGGGGATGGGTGATGCCCCTGTTTCCCAACACAGAAACCAAAAGAGGTGGACTCGGCAGGGTGCGGTTTCTATTACTTCTCCTCCGGATTGCACCCTGCAACCTTCTGCTTCTCAAAGACCTGGATCATTAAGTCCTGTGTGCTGCTTAGAAACAAATATATATATACCTGGAGGCTTTTTGGGTGGGGCCTTTGTGGTTTTCGGCTGCTTGGTGGTGGTGGTGCGGATGGCATCCCATAAACTGATGTCTTCTGAAGGAACAAGAGAACAAAGCTGAGGCTGCAAAACTGGGCCCAAGGTGATGAGATCTCCCAGGCCAGGAGCACTGGTACAAGGGAGGGGTTTGTGTTGCCAAATTTGGATTCTTATCTGAATGCTCCCAAACCTTCAGGGCTCTCTGCCTTTGGCTCACACGAAGGTAACAACCTCTATATGTTCTGTGGCACCTACATATGTGCCCTCAAATACACAGTGCTGCTCTGGGTGAGCTGCATGTGTGAGCCCTCACAAGCCTCTTCCTCCAGTCACCCTCCACAATCCCACCTTTTGGCCATGGGAGGGTGCACATGCATTCCTCCACAGCGCAGCATTACCTGACTTCTTTGGGGGCTTAGCAGTGGTCTTTGCTGGCTTGGTTGTTGTCTCTGGGAGGGTATCAAAGAAATCTGCCAGGTCAAGGTCACCTAAAGAAAAACGTTGTATGAGAAGCAGATTTCTGCTAGGGCCTCTCTCCTGCTTGATAGCCCTATGCTGCCCCACCCAGCTGGTGTGCACTGTTCATCGTCTCACAAACCTTTGTATGAAGACAGGCAGGCACTGTGCTGACTATTATTTGCAGAACATCATCAATAGCCTGGAGTCCACATGTGGCCTGCTCCTCTTGCCAGCCTCCCGTGAGCTCTGTGACCTTACTGCCATTCCTTAAAGGCACTATTAGAATATTTAGCTCAGCGCTTACTGGGAAACACGAGCTCACTGCTGCCTTTGTCATGGCTTACAGAGACCCTGTTGTAGGCAGAGGCCACTCTGACCTTATCAGTAATATGCTGTCTCTCACAATTGGTCAGTTGAAAAGACTGTCCAGATACCGCAGAGATCTGCTTGCTGGAACATAATCCCATTACAAAGCTCTCAGATCACACCCCATTTTCCACCTTTACCTCTTAGATCTGGACCCATTTTTCCTTTCCTTTCAGTAATGTCCATTCAAATGGTCATGCAGTGCTCTGAGAAGTGTTGGGGAAAAAATGCTTGCAGTTGTCAAGGCAATACTGTGCATGTAAGACTTGAATAACCTAACTGTGTTCATCCTCAGGAAAAAGGTTTCTGTTAAAACAGAGCCATTTTGCTCATTGGAACCAGAAATACATGTATGTATAAAATGCACACATACCCCCACGTTTTTTGGTCCTATGATCATATACACATGAACACACACATGCACACTTTTTTTTTTTTTGGCGCTATGATTAGAGTTGTCCTTGACACCTAGGGTTCAGCAGGCTCCCGTGTGTCTGGTTGGAGCAACTCAAATCTTCCGCAGCGGAGCAGAGAACGTGCCAGCAAGCAGAAGCGCTGCTGTGATGGAGGGCCATTCAAGGACCTGCACAAACTGGCTGTCCGTGTCCGTCTAGCACAATTACTCTCTTCCTTGGAAAACTTGCTGACTCTGGAAGAGGGAATGTAGTGCGTGTGTCTGGATTCTGCACATGATACCATCTGTCTGCTGTAAATGCTGGAACATGGATCTGAATCACAGGCAGAGATCAACGTAAGCTTGCTCTGTAAGTTTTTGGGAGGTGCCCATCACTGCAGCATCAGTGCCAAGTTCTGTGGGAATCTCTCTCCCCACTCCTGTCTCCCAGTCATTCTCCTCTTTAGTTTCCCTATTCTTTTTTGATTCTGTCCATCTGCTCTTCAGTATTAAAATGTCACAACCCCATTTCCTCTCTGTGCAGATGAAAAAGGGGGCCTGTTGCTGGTTTGCTCAGCCACGTGGGGTGAGAGCTGACCGGCTGACTGCTGGATTTTTATTCTCATTTTATTTTGACATGAGAGTAGTAGATTGGGACATTGAGGCCGGGAGCAAGGAGCTCTGCAGTGCCACTCCTGGGCTGGCCATGACCATGACACAGTTCAGAGCAGTTGCAGCAGGGCTTTAGCTACAGAAAGCTGTGTCCCTCCCCAGGACTGCACCACTCCTGGCCATCCCCTCTGCAATGGCGGACACGCAAAGACTAGCACAGGAGCCAGCTCCGCTGGTGTCTGCACATCACAGGGAATCCCTTGGGCTGCAGGAGCATGCGGTGGCCAGTTACTTACTCATTCACAACAGAGCAAAGGCACTGACCCATTAGAGCCAGTCAATGACTGACAGGTCTGCTGTCCTCCATTGTGAATGGTCTATACTGGCCCATGTAGACAGGCTCTGAGGAGGAAACCTGCACACTGCAGAGGTGTCTGTATCATTATTCCGCCACCATCAGTAAATGAGAGGACTGAGGCCCCACGATTAATTGCTTAATTAAGGTCACCCACAAGACAAGTGAAACCTAAGAAGAGAACCAGGAGTCTCACAGCTCCACATCTAGTGCCTGATGAAGGGGGCCATTCCAGGGTCTTTGTCCCCTTTCTCCTTCTCCTACCCCACTCTCTTCCTTGCAAACTCAGCTCCAGTCCAGCGCTGCAATGCTGGATCCCAGCCATGAAGCTAGTTAGACAGCAGAAACAGAACCTACCCCATGCATCCACATTCCTGATGTCTCTGAACCCAGTACACTGATGAGACTCTCCTCCATGCAAGAGAGAAGAAATTGTCATGGAGAAGACAAATGGAGGCACCAAGCAGTCCAGTGAGCTGCCCAAAGCCACGCAGGAACTTGTGGTGGAGCTGGGACCTACTCTTCCCATCTGTGTTACCACAGATGATTGCATTAAAGACAGGAAGCACTTTGGGGCAGGGATTGTTTCATGATTTTGCTTGTGTGGTACCTAGCACAATGGGCCTTTGCCCTGGACTGCAATGGCTATGTGTCACTGCATGGCTAATGACGGCATCCCACTGGCAGAGACTGGGGCTGACTCCCCTCCATGCCCTGTCATTCTAGTTCCATTGCTCATGTAACTGAATCTGTTTTCAAGGAAGAAAATCCCTGTGAATGCCATTGTTCCTGTCCCATCTGCAAGGCCTGGAGTATATGTGCAGCAGGGAAACAGCATGCTACACACCATAGCGTACGTGATGCAGAGAAACAGCTCATTACTTCATTTCAATGCAAACTGGAAAAGGACAGCTCACCTGATGGCTTCCTGGGTGGCTTTGGAGTTGCTGTGATGCAAAAAAAGAAGATAAATGTTAGTTACTGGTGTCACCTGGAAACCCCGCATCTGGGAACAAACTACAAGTGCTTATTTGTCACAGGGTGCATAAAACTCACCCGGGGCACATAGAATCAGAGGGTGTCCAATGATATGCAATGCCTTTTCACCATTCGCTGAGCTCTGGCATAAAGTGGAAATCCTTGCATTTGCATTAATTCATTTTATATTCTGCATTTGCAGACCTCAAAAACCACAAAGCCTCAGGCTGAACAAGGAATCCCACCGAAATGAATCAGGCTAGTTAAAGATCTGAGTGAACCTGAGTAGGACAGAGTGTGAAGCTTTGCTCACACTAGTGATGAGCCTGTGCAAAGACCCCAATTCTGTCTCTCTGGGGCACAGAGGGATGAATTTAACCCAAAGCAAAACTACCTTGACCTGCCACACAGGTTCGGGAACCAGCTGCTAGCAACACAGGGCAAGTATCATGTATAAAATAACACACCTGAGGACAATGAGGTGCAATTTAGATTTCTTTACTGTTACCTGTTCACGTCTTCTAAATCTGTAACTCAAGATTTACAGTACCCCCTGCCACATAGTGCAGGAGAGGCCTTTATTTTAAAGGAAGAAAAATTATTTCACATTGATTTCTGATCCGAGAGAGAGATTTTTAGAAACAGGGTAATGCTGCAATGCCTGATATGGTCAATAGTGTAATAAAAAAACCCCAAACTCAGTTCTTGTTTTACAGTGTAATCTGCTGACTTGGTAATGGGCTATATTACCATGAGTATGAATAAAATATGAACAGGAGTTGTGGCTGCCCTGTTCCTATTAATTTCTGTCTGTGTCTCTGAATACTGGAACATATTTGACTGGTGATAACTTTAGTAGTTTGCCATCATTTTAAATTGGCTGATCTCTGTGACCTTATGGCACTTTTTTCCTGTTTCAAATTGGAGGATGCAGTTCAAAGAAGAACTTTACTTTGATTTCCACAGGGGTATGGAGAGGAGTTGGTATAAGGTATGTGATGCCCCACAACCCACCTCCTCCCCCTCTCCACACCTGGGACCAGAGCAGTCAGAGGTTCTACATTTAGCCCATACTCTGGAGCAGTGTCCTAATGATGCCTGTGCGTAGTCAGTTCAGCCCTACAGATCTGAGAGGGATCTTGCAAGGGAGAGGTCTGGAGTTGCTAGCTTTGATCCTGAATCTGTGCCTCTTAGACCAGTTCCTGTAGAGTCTAAATGCCTCATTATTCACCCACATTCTCACGCTGCTTCTGGCCCCAGCAAATCCCAGGACCCCAGGTCTTAAAAGAATATGCCTTTCATATAGGAATTCCAAAATGAGACGCATCTGATCCAGAAGACTGGTTCAGTGGTTTTGCTGTAAAGCAAAGGGTTTCAAAACTCTGCCAGTCAGTGGTTCCACTTGTGTAGCTTCATTTTATGCAGTGTAACGTGGAAATAAGGAGTGTCCAGCTGCTCATTCCCAAGTGGTTTGTAGCTTGGGTAGTTGTTTAGGGTCCACTGCTATGAAGTATCTGTACATGCATGTGAGGGGAAGCAAGACAGTAATTGGTATGCTTGATTTGTAGTTGTCTACTTTAATCTTGTTGCGCTGGTGGCGGATGGCTTTGTACAGATGCTTCTTGACTTGGCTTGCTTACTGCTGATCTGGGAAGATTGATTAGAAAGGGGGAGAAGGGACAGCTGATCCCTGTATTCTAAATTTCTCAGTTTTGGAGCTTTGTGGAGCACTCTAGAAAAAACAGTCATTGTTTTATGGGCCACCCGCTCAATGTATATAAACATATAGCGTTCTGCTGGACCCAGTGATCCTACCTGAGCTGAGACTCTGACCTACCATTTCCAAGCACCCAGGGTCTCATCACTGCGTATCCATGCGGCTCCTCCTGAAGTCAAAGGGCACTTCCTTTAGTAGAAGATGTCCCTACAGTGGTGGTGTCCTCATGGCTGTTCAGTGTTGTAGGCTGGTAAAAGTACTAGTTACGGGCTTTTTTTTAATTTACTGAAGTCTCCATCAATGTACATAGAATTGCTAGTAAAAATTAAGAGCAAAACAGCTTCTCACCCAGAGTTCCCTTAATTTATTTAAGACCATGGGCCAAATTATGGCCTGTTTTAATATTGGTGTAAATCAGGACTCATTCCACTAAATGCAATGGAGCTGCTATTATGTAAAACTGACCAGAATCGGACCCCAGAACCCTGGTCTGAAAATATCTAAAGCAGTGTTTCCCAACCTTTTCCAGCCCAAGGCACACTTACATTAATAACCATTTTCTAAGGCACACCTGTCAAGCCATTTCCCCATCCCCACACTTATGAGCTCACTGTAGCTCATTGCTGTGGCAAAATTCTGTGGCGCACCTGTTAATTTCTCGTGGCACACCACTGTGCTGGGGCCACACCGGTTGGGAAACACTGATCTAAAGAATGGAGCTATCCGACATTTGCGTTTCTGCAATAATGTAACTTTGTCATGAAAAGAACACCAAGCCACAACACCTGTTATCTGTCTTTTTTGGAGTGCCAGGAATAACACATCCCTCTTAGAAGTGATCTGTTGTAACTGATGTGATGATGTATTAACTACTTTGAACTAACTGTTTTATTTTTTCCTTTGTTACTGTTTAACAATGGTGCTGAAGGGGATTTGGAAGCTCCAGAGAAACTCAATCTACAGCAGAAGGAAGCTTTTCCCCGCTCAGATTTCTTTAAGTGGGCAAAAGATCTCTGGCCTAAAATTACATCAGGAATGTTAAACAGCAAAGCTAGTAATAGCGCTTCTAACTCAGCCAAACTGGAGCGCTGTGAAGAGATGGTTTCTACAGGGTAAAGCCTGTCACCGGAGGGTAATCTCCCGCTGCTATACAGGCTTGGACAAAGGTGTTGCTTTTTATTGTCAGTGTGCTTTTAAAGGAGTCGTTTTGATGGTACCACAAGAGCACCATCCTCTCCACAGATACTGCCTGATGGATGGTGGCACTGTGAAACTGTTGTGTCAGTAAGCAGTAGGTTTGTCCAGATCATGTATCATGGGATGCATGTTCACCTGGTGACTTGGGTATGGCCTTATCCAGCTGGCTTCTCCCAGCTGCATTTTGCAGGGAGCATGAACTGCTTTTGAAAACAGTAAAATGCTTGCGAGGAAACACACTGGTGCTTTATACAGACTGCTCTGAGATGATTCAGTCTGAATTACACAGAACAAACATGGGAGGTTATGCAGGGAAGGGCAATAATCTGTCTGGCTGAGAGGGAGCTTTGAGGCTAAAATGGCAGATTGTATCTGAATATTTGGGCAAGCAGAGGCAGGAAAAGAAAGAAGAACGATGCATCCTCCGAACAATAAACGCAGCTGAGTATTGGTCCGGGGAAAACCATGGCCCCGTGGCAGAAAGAAGCATTGTGGCTCCTTCCTGCCATCTAAGCTAGCTTTTACTTTAACTGGGACTGGAGTAAAGAGGAGGCTAAGGGCCTCTGCGCCTTTCTCTTCACTAGTTGATACGTTCCTAACCCTTTTTCTCCTTCCCCCCTCAACTTCTATGGCAACCATATACACATGGAGTTCATGATGGAATGATGGGGTGGGCGTCCCAATGTGGACGCCTGGACAACACCTTCCCATAGCAGGTAGGAAGAATGAGAGTCTCCAAGATATTCCCACTTATCCCCAACTCCCAAGTGCTTGTGCAATTGGCTGGGGAAGGAAAACATTCAGGCGAGAAGGAGAGTTTTGTGAAGGACTAAGCGACATGATAGAAGAGGGGAATGGCCAAGAGGTGTAAATCACTAATTGCCATCTCAAAACCCACTGTCCTTGCCTGCTGGAAGAGAAATGAATCACTTGCTGGCTTCCAGGCAAGCAGGGGAATGAATGAATGACAAGAGAAGGAATTAGGAACCCAACAAGCGTATGTTCAGTATTACAAGGATGTCAGAATGATCCTACAGCAATGTGATTTGCTACCTGGCATCACAGCACAAAGGTTAGAAACAAATTTTGTAGGACTTATACTTACTTTAGCTGTTGACAAGCATGGGAATGGAATCTGATCAGGAAAAGATGGCAACATCTTGTAACCTCCCCTCCGCCCCCATCTGCACACAACCCAACTAGATAACTGCATATTAATCTCTTCTTTGTTTCTTCTGTTTTAAAAAGAAGAAAATCATACTTACGTCGCTTGGTTGTAAAGTCATCCAATGCATCTTCTAACCTGAAGTCGTCCAGATCGTCCCCATGTCCTAGAGACAAAGCATTAGCATTAGCTTTACTCATTCTGCGCAAAGTAAATCAACTTCAAACACAGCATGGCTAGACTTATTCGCTTAAATTGCCTTAGTCTTAGAGAGAGGGGCTTTTTTTTCAAATCTGACCTATTATCAATGATGAAGAAGACATCAGCTTTCTCAGTATTCTGTGACTGTTAAATTGCAGAGCAGTCATCTCTGGATTTTCCATTTGTCTGCCCTAATGGATGTGGGATAAATACACATGCTACACTTAAATTTGTCAAGTGGAGCCTACCAATTCATCTCTCTAGCTGCCACTCATCTGTGGATGTGTTCACGATTATATGTTTGCTAAACACCACAAAAATATTGGAACAGCTTAGACCAATTTCGTGCAAACAAAAAACATACACCTCCTCTCCGAAGATGCATTCCAACATTGCAGGGAAAGATTTTAAATTAAAATTCTGCTGTTGTTACTGCCAAACCTGCATCTTAATATTTCAGACACAACCTGATTCACATTCTCAGCAATACAAACTACGAATGCACTCGCATTCAAGGAGCAGACCTGACAAACGGGAGGCACGTTTATCATCAAAGATGCTTCACAATGTCTCCTAACAGTTCACAATATCCCTACGCTACCCCTAAACTAGTGCTATGCTAATGTAGTAGGTTCAGCTAATCCTTCCTTTCTCTGTCTCTCTTGCATCACATTAATTACTGTTGACTTAGCCTAGTTCTGAATGCATTTGTCTTGATAAATTCATGCTTTTACATCTCAGAGCATGCTGAGTAATTAATATCCTTTGGGTTTGCTAAGTACTGCAGCACTGCAAGAGAACATTAAAATGGCTTTCCTCTTATTCCTACTGCTAAATGGATTTAGCTATTGCCACCTGAGCTCCAGCTTGCTTCATGAATAAATTTAAAGCTTTACTGACAAGGACAATAACAATGAAAAGGCACTAGTCCATCAGAAAGCAGGTATCAGCATTTCAGTAAAAAACTTTTACACACACTGGTCACTAAGTATTACAACCCATTCAGCTCTGATTTCAGTTATTCACACATCACATCTTGTTTCATTTACCATCTATTTAAATGTAAACTCAGCAAACAAGGGAATGATTTAAATGCAAGGTCCGTGGTTTGGAAGTACTATGTATTTCTAAATCTCCTAGCAAAGCACTCAAGAGTGTTATGCTGCGGCTTGCTTGATATTTTCTTTTTAAATCAGCCCTCAGATGAATTTGTCGTTAGAAGGGTTTAGCTCCTACATCACTGGGCAGGAATAGAAACGTTGCTGGTTGATGCAGGTAGAGGCCAGTGCTGTGTCAAACGCACAAAGTGGGATGCTGTTGTTTGGAAAACTAATAGAGGGGAACAGCACTTGGTCTCCTCAACTTGCATCCTACCTCCTCCCTGGATGGGTGCATCTTCCCACCCCCTCACCCCGGCTCCATCTCTACCTAAAGTATTTGCCTGGGCCACCGTAAGCATGTCTAACACTAAAGAACAAAAATAGTCCCACTGAAAATGCCAGGAGTGGTGTATACAGGCAACCTGAACTGGTGACTATGCAGCTTCTAATCCCAGGAGAGCAGGAGAATACCTGGACTCGTGAGTGCTGACTCACACGGGCAGACAGGGTTATCTGTATTCACTGTACTGCTTAGGAGCTGTCAGCTAGGTCCAGAGCCCTTCTGTGTTGATGCTGTCCCCATAAAAACTAATAATATGGTGCCTATCCCAAACTGCATGCCACAGCCAACACTACTGCTGTGGATGTCAGCCTCCAGCCATTTCATACGGACTGTATCGTATCCTCCTCTCTCTCTCTCTTTCTTGCCCTGTCTGCAGAGCATCACTGGTGCAACGTAGCTCCTTTTTTTGCCTTTTCTCTTTAAAATGCAAAAGGAAGAAGAAAAGGGGAAAAACTGCAAATCTCTGGAGTGATGAGGGACCAAAAAAAAAAAAAGAAATGCTACAAATCTCACCCAATGGAAAGGCAGCATTGTCACACTTCATTTTAATTCCCTTCTAACTCTGCGGTTTGTAATAAGAGCAAAACTAATTGAAGGGAGGAATATGGCCATAATGCTAACGCTCGCATTTGTATTCCATGAGCCTGCCTTTCTCTCTCTCTCTTTCTGTTCTCGGTGATTAAATAAATGTTAGGGGCACTGATCTGCTCCACACCAGGGCTATGCAATTAACAGGTCCCGGCAGTATTTTTTGCTTTTTACATAGGATAATGCAGTTAGTAAAATGTGCCGTCAGAGGGAGATTGGAGCTCTTCTATCAAGCCGCTAGACTGGAAACATGATACCAGATGTGTTCAGTTAGGGTTTGCTTTTCTATTAAAGGACATAAAGGGGCTTTCTGCCATGGAAAAAGCTCAGCTGCCTCATGAATGACTAAAAGCCAGTTCCTATAGGAGGCAAAGCATCCAAAGCCTGAGAAAGTGATTCACCCTTGTGTGGTGAAAGCCAGCTGCAAAGCATACAGCTCGGCCCCTGCGCGTGGCATTGCAAGTGCGTTTCTGTGCGTAACGCGGCATATTTCCACTACGTGTAAGAGCTTCCCCTGTAGGTTTCCCTGGGGCAAGCAAGATGT